GGGGGGGGAATGATTCAGTTACACATGGAAGGCTGTTAAAGACTATCATTGAATAGCTTTCAGTCCAATCAAGGCACTTTGAGGCACACCTTTCTCCAAGCTTGGGAACATTTTTAAAAAAGTTTTGTTTTCTGCTCAGTATCAGAGCTGCCCTGATTTCCCCAAAACGTGATCAGTACACAGGTGTTGCGGCTTTGCTGTAGAGCATTCTTGCTGCACTTGGACCTCTCTGTATGGCTGCTTCTATGCACTTCTCTGGATCTCTTCTTGGATTTCACTGGAACACTTGCTTTGATCCCCACTTGACCTCCTGGAAAGCTCGCTTCAGAGAATGACAAACCTCCAGCTTTGTGTAGATCTAAAGGCTATCAGGTGTCCAGAGACTTGGCATTCCCCAGAACCCCCATTCAGAAGGCATAATATAAGCTTCTGCTTTTCCTGCTGCTCATACAGGTCTCCTTCCCCAACCAATTATCTTGTATTCACTCATTTCCGAGAGAATGTGTGTTTAGAATAGTTACAGTATTGTGGGCATTCTAGTATTTGATGCTAAGTATATGCTCGCTATAACTTTTAATGAGTATTTTTATGTCTTCTCAAACTCTACTTCAAGATCCCCAATCTCAATTCAAACGTTGCCTTGGAGGCAAGGTTTGTGCAGCATCTCCCATCTATGTGCCAGGTATTAAAACCAAAACCTGCAGCTCCTTTAGAACAGGAGTGAGGGGTGGTGGAAGAGAGGTCTCTGCCTCATGCATGGCTACCCCAGAGTGAATGAAACCCAACTAAGCAACAGGCCTTATTCACATGGACCCTTTACTGCAAATGTGCTTTCCAAACCACACATGGGCATGAGCAAGCTTACTCTGTGTTGGACTGTGGCCCTCATTTTATCATAAAGTAGATTACATTCTGAAGATGCCTGAATGCAAATAACAAGCTCTTATTCAAGCAGCAGAATAGACACATTTGTGCTTACCAATATAGTCAAACTCTTCTTTCAAAGCCATTCCATTATGTGAGAAACATTGTTGGCATATAAGCGCATATCTAAAGACGAGATCAGACATTACCAGCATTGGTTTAACTATTTAGTTTACCTATTAATTTAGTCATTCTACTGGACCATTTAGAATTAAAGTAGTGAAGGTCATACATTAACAGATATCACATTATTACCATTTCAAACTGTCAACTGAGCAATTCCAATGATATTATGACGTGGAAGAAGAAGAGGAGGAGATTAGATTTATACTCCGCACTTCACTCAGAGTCTCAGAGCGCCTTACAAACTCCTTTCCCTTCCCCTCCCCACAACAGACACCCTGTGAGGTAGGTGGGGCTGAGACAGCTCTTTCCAGAACTGCCCTTTCAAGGACAACTCTTATCAGAACTATGGCTTGCCCAAGGTTATACAGCAGCTGCAAGTGGAGGAGTGGAGAATCAAACCCGGTTCTCCCAGATTAGAGTCCGCGCACTTAACCACTACACCAAACTGAACTGAATGTAACTACTACACCCCCCATATTTGGTTTTAAGATGCATAATTTTGGACTCATGATATGATACGTTGGTTTGGTAAGGGGGCAGGTAATGGAAATTTTAAAGACAATGTATGAAGATAAGTTACATTTGCATAACTGCTCAAACATACCAATGATTTATAGGTTTTTATTTGTTATTTTATTTTTCGATTTATAGCCCTCCCTCCCCTGCAAAACAAGTCTCAGAAGCTTCAGCCACAATAGTCAGTACTCTGAAAGGCACCATGATGTCAACCCATTAAAGTTCATAATTAACTGCTCCATAGGAGTTTAAAATAACTTTAATAAAATAAGGTAAACTATTAAAAAGATAAACTAAGGGCCCCTTCTAACATTACCTTCCTTACTTGCCCTAGTTTCTAGAAGGAAAGATGCTATTGTGGGGAAAAGCCACCGCATGGACTCCCTCCCACGTCTAGAAGGAATGATGCTATTGTGGGGAAAAGCCACCGCATGGACTCCCTCCCACGTGGCATTGGATTTCTGATGGAACACTAGAAGGAGCTACAAAGGTAACTTGAGAAGAGGCCCTGAGTGTTATGATTTCAGACTTTATTCACCACAGTGAGTGACATTTTACCTGTTTTGTGGACCGTCTCCAACTAGATATTCAACAATTCTATCCAATGTGCCTCTCTCTCGAGGAAGAATTTGTCTTGCCAGTGGAGGGCCTGGAGGATGAAGACCTAGAAAATTAATAGACTGCTGTCAATCCAGTCTACTGAGTTGATGAAGAATGTGGATATCTAATACATTTGCTACCAGTCTATATTAAAGATCTAAAATGGGAAGAAATGACCCAAATAGATATTGTTTTTGTTTAAACTTCAACCCCACTGTCAAATTAAAGTCAAGTTTCTAGCTCTTAATGGTTTTTACACTAATGAAACACAAGGAATATAACAGGGAAATTATTACCTTGTATGAGAAGAGAGCTGGAAAATTCTATCACCCTCTGTGGTTATTTATGGGTATCTTTCAACTATTTTAATGCTGTCATGTCCTCTTTAAACTTTTAAACTACATATTAAATGTGCCAAGTTTTCTCAGCTTTTCTAATATGTATGCTCTCTGGATGTTCCGGACTACTGTATGTGTCACACAACCAACCACAAAAGTATACCTGGTGTTTGTTTGTTTTTTCAAGGACGTCTTGATTAAAGAGAGAACAACAAACAACAGAAAATAACAAAAAAGAACTACATAGAATATGAGGCTTCCAATTTTCTCTGCAACAAATAAGTATAGTTACAAAGTGTTCTCTTACTCTATTGTTACAAAAATAGGCTCTCTTTTTTCTATTGTCTAAATCCCTTATGCATTCAAAAACACAAATCATCAGGTTAGTTTTGACTGTTTCGTGCAAAAAGTCTATAAGGGGTTTCCAATCACCAATAAACATAGTTATTTTCTTTTCTGTTATCAAAGAAGTACATTTGGCCATTTCCGCAAGTTCCAGGATCCTCACCCACCATTCCTCTAGTGTCAGACTCTTCCACTTCTGCGCATATAATAATCTCGCTGCCATTATCATATATAAAAACAAGGTTCTACAACTTCTTTCCAGCTGAGTGTCCATTAATCCCAAAACAAAAGACTCTGGTTTCAGTTGTGTATTAATCTTTAAAATCCTCTGTATTAATAAATGTTTTTGGCTTTCTTACATGTCCACCACATATGGTAAAATATTCCCTCATGTTGTTCACATTTCCAGCATGGACTCAAGGTACCTTTATACATTTTAGCCAATTTCTCCAGATACATATACCAGCAATAGATCATCTTATAAAAATTCTCTTTAAGGCTAGAACTTAATGCAAATGTCAACCCTTTAAGCCACATATTTTCCCATTGTTCCATTTGTATGTCATATCCAAAAATTTAGCCCATTTTATCATGCATTCTTTCACTTGTTCTTCCTCTGCCTCAAATTTCAACAAGAGTTTGTACATTTTGACAATAACATTCAACATTTTAAGATTTTTGTTGTTGTTCAATCACACAGTCGAGTCCGACTCTTTGTGACCCCATGGACCAGGTCTCACGCCAGGCCCTCCTGTCTTCCGTTGTCCTCCGGAGTTTGCTCAATTTATTTATACATAATTGTTTCAAATTCAGTCTTAGTTTGCTCAAAATCATAAAGCCTTGTATCCACTTTGAACCTTTCAAAGATTCATAAATAAGAAAACCATTGGCAAATATATCCTTCTGTTATCAAATCTTCTCTTGATTTTATTTTATATACTCCTTGCAAAAATTCTAACATATCACAGTATGTTAAACATTTATACAAATTTGTCATTTTTCTTCTAAAGTGAGCTTTTTGTGGTGACAGCCGCAGAGGTATTTTCAGACAGATCCTAGGTTTATATTTATTACATACTGTCAAAATGGGATGTCTACCATAGTGGTTATTAAATTCTACATGAACCTTTGCTTGGTTGTACAACAGGTATTCATGCCACCCACATCTCAAATCATTTCCTTTTAACACCAATAATCAACTATTTTTTAATGAAATCCATTCTTTCATCCACACTAAACAAGCAGCCACAAAATAAAATTTCAAATCAAGTAAACCTAATCCTCCTCATGTCTTGCATCCTGGCCATACAAATCTAGATATATCTTTCTGCCATTGTTTAAATTGCAGCTCTGTTGTCAAAACAGGAACTGTTTGAAACAAAAATAGCATTCTAGGTAAAACATTCATCTTAATCACAGATATTCTCCCCATAAGTGACAGCTGAACTTTGTCACATCTTAACAAATCTTTTTCAATTTAATTCCAAGTCTTAACATAGTTATTTTGAAATAGCATACAATTCATATTTGTCAAAGTGATACTCAAGTACTTTACCTTCTTTTCAGTTTTAAAACTTGTTTTATCAGTTTTGTTTGATCTTGTATTTTTATATTTTTGGTAACATCTTAGGCTTCTCTTTATTGACCTTAATGCCCACTACTGTACCAAATTCTTTCAGTTTGGCCATTAAAGTTTCAATTCCCTTTAACGGATCTTCCAAGACCAGCATCAGGTCATCTGCAAAGGCTCTTAACTTATAAGATGCTCCTTTAATCTTCACACCTATAATTCTTTCATCTTGTCTTACATTTCTATTCGATATTTCCAGAACCAAAATAAACAGAAGAGGCAACAATGGGAAAACTTGTCTTGTTCTACTTTGTATCTCACATGGTTTGTTCAAATCTCCATTAATAATGATTTGTGATGTATAAATCGATTTTACCCATTTAATGACGTTTTATCCAAAATCCATATCCTCCAAGACCCTAAACAAAAAGGTTCAGTTCAGATTATCAAAAGCTCTGCATCTAAAAAAATCAATGCAGCTTGTTTTTTGTTATGTTTTTCCAAGTATCCCAAGATGTCTAATAACTTTCTAACATTGTCTCTCAGCTGTCTTTTAGGTAAAAATCCACTTTGATCATCACGTATAAATTCCTGAAGAATTATTTTAAGTCTTTCAGCTAATATCATTGTGAATCACTATTCAACAATGATATCATTCTGTAATTTGTTGTCATTGTCAAATCTATTCCATCCTTAGGTATTAGTGTTATATTAGCCTTTTTCCATGTCTCCGGCATCCTTCCTCTTTGTAGAACTGAGCTCGTCATGTTTTGTAATGGTTGTAGAAGTTCATCCTCAAAACACTGTATCAGTTAACACTCTATCTCCCTCTTGTATTTTCAGTGTCATTTTCTTTTCTCTTTCTTTTCACAATTCATATGCCAACCATTTCCCTAGTTTATTTGCAGATTCAAAATTTCGTTGTTTTACATAGTTCAATTTTATTTCCATTTTTCTTATTGGTAACAGAAAACTGTTGCTGTAAAATCCTGATTGGTTGAAAAATATTTGTATTCCATTGTGAATGCCTAAATTCTTCTTCATCTCATCCAAAATATTTTGTATTTTCACTTGCTTCTTTCTCTTAAATTGAGCATTATGCCACATTAAATAACCTCTAATGAAAGCTTTACTTGCATTCCCAAAACATTCTCAAATCAGTACTCTTATTTAAATTAATTACAAAAAATTATTTTAGTTTCTTTTTGAAATCTTTGACAACCATAATCACAGGGTTATGATCTGAAAAAAGTCTTTGGCAAAATCTCTGCTTTAAATATCTTAGTAGCTAGATCTCTTTATGTCAAAACCATGTCTATCCCTGAAAAAGATCTATGCCTTTCTGAAAAATATGTAAATTCATTTGAATTGTCATTTTTCTGTCTTTATAAAACAACCCTAAATCGTCCATCAGCTCAAATAAAACTTTTGATAGTTTACTTTGAAAAATTTTAATATTTTTCTCAGTGGTCCTACCCATTTGTAGGGAGATCAATCAATTCCAATCTCCCATCAAACACCAGCTTTCATAAGGTAAGTCTATTAAGCTCTCCATAAACAATTTGCCAAATGACTGTGTCCTATAGAACTTAATGGGGGTGCATGCTTATCTTTATAGCCTCTCACTTTGGGGTCATTTTGTTGGCTACACACAGAGATAAGAAAAAGGCTGGTGGACCACCTAAAACCTTTTTGCTGGCATCCTTATGCCTGCAGACCACTTAAAATAGATTAGCTCTCTCTCAGTCAGCAAAATGTTTCAGAAGAGAATACTCACATTATAAGCATTTTGTATAATTAGTGAGACTTAAATAATAGCTTGGATCCTGCAAATATGATCTGAAAGTGTTTGAGGATCTTTCTTCTTGCTTTGTCTCCTCCTAGTGACCATCTAACAGTGGACACTGAGGATCAAGGCAGCTTCATGGACAACATCCCATGAGGCATGAAGGTATGCAGTTGGGAGGAGGAATCGAGTGAAACCACTCCTCTTCTCTCTTGTATGAGTGGAAACCTTGCTTCACCAGGTTTCTTCTGCCAGCAGAAGGGATAATTTTGCCCCACTGTAGTGTTCAGTGCTGCATGGTATCTTTGCCACTGAGGCTCCTCACAAATCCTAGCACCAGCTGAATCAAGTGAAACCACTCCTCTTCCCTCTTGTATGAGTGGAAACCTTGCTTCACCAGGTTTCTTCTGCCAGCAGAAGGGATGATTTTGCCCCACTGTAGTGTTCAGTGCTGCATGGTATCTTTGCCACTGAGGCTCCTCACAAATCCTAGCACCAGCTTTACAGGGGTTACAGGGGGCTGCTGAGGGGAGGGGGGAGGGAGGCAGGAAATATCTGCTTTCATAATCACATGCATGCTCTCCGTTTGTAGGATCCAGTCCAATGACCTTTACTTGAAAGCGAGCTTTACTGAAATTAGCACAATACATTTCTTAGTAAGTGCTTTTAGGACTGGAATGTCACTA